GACCTGTCAGTTATTATTTTATAGATTAAATAAGTCTTATGACTTGGGTTAGAGAATTAAGGATTGTGGTTAACCTATTAGAGGGTTATGTTATAGTATCATGTCCTGAACTCTAGTTAATTCAAGGTCTAAATAGAAAAACTCGATCAACGTACAATAAGGTTAGCCAGCATTATACTATATATCTATAGTATCATGCTGAACTCTGGTTAATTCAAGGTGTAAATGGAAAAACTCGTTGAGCGTACAATAAGGTTAGTGTAAGCCAGCCTGAACCATATACATATGGTTTTGTCTTTGGTGCATCACTTTTTTTTGGTGCATTCAATGCACTCGCCTCATCATTACCATTATGACAAGGCAATTCTTGTCAAAATGACGTCAATCGTCACTTGTGATATGATGGACAAGAAAACACACACACACACGTACATATATATGGTTGTATCGTACATCGGGTAAAAATTGAAGTACCACATACTCCAAGTAAAATAATTATATCTAGACCTTAAATTGACCGGAGTTTGGGACATGGTACTATACTCGAACCCTTAAAGATTAAAAACTAGGTCGTATTTTTATAAACCTTATACACTAAAATTAATTCAATTAGAAATAATAATCGACGATCATGATTCATCGAAATGCATCCAGCAAATTATATGTACCATCTTAGTGTTTAGGGTCTATAATTTATATAATTATGTCCTAGAGTTCATTCATCAAGGATAAGGGTATAGTATCATGCCTAAAATTCTGTTAATTCGAGGTCTAGATAATGTTCTTATCTAAAGTAAGTATCTTTTTATTATGAACAAGGTCTTGGTCTAGTGGTAATACCACTAGCCTAGAACCTGGAGGTCCAAGGTCCGAATCTCTTAAGTAGTACCTTAATCACAAAAAAGAAACCTATATCACCCTTATAAAAAAAAAGTAAGTATCTTTTTACTATATTCCAGTCACCAGTCAAATAAAAACTTATCGGTATTTCGTGATTTGTTGGGTCGGTCTAAAAAAATTGTTGACATGACATCTAGAGAGTTTTGCCTGTATTTTTTATGTCGGAGCTCTGGTTACTAATTTTACCGGTTGAACCGACCGATCTAATGCGATTTCTAAAACGATGCTTTACTACAAATACTCATGATTTTTTTTATATAGAAATGAATTATCATACGTGAAGGAAAAGTGGGACAGATTGTTAATTACCTAGCCCACATAGATGCTCCCAATTTTCTGGGGTCATATCGAATAAACTCTCTAATCTCTTGCAAGCCTAAAAAACACGTATAAGGTGGGTGGTGGCACACGTCCAAAATGTGCATTAGGGTTCTTGTACATCACATTCACAGGGTTGGCTGAAATCCAAATTTGAACGGTGAACAGAAGGTAGAGTCAGCCCGCCGGTACGTACTATGTATTTAAGTAATCCCAACCAAATGGGCAATCTGAAACTCGCTTTGATTGGACTTAATTAATTATAACCCTATGGCTTAATTAAGTTGACGCCGGCCAAGAATTTTCATAATCTTCTTTTCACACACATAATAATAGCTTTAGGCTTAGTCTAATCATTATACATGTTATCGTCACTAAAATCGCTCACGTTGTCACTTTTATATTCGTGGTCGATGCCACGTCTATCAGCAGTAGTTGGACTGTGACATAACAGGTTATTGAGCTAAATCTTTGAAGAAACAAAACATTAAAAAAGCCGATGATGATTTACGTTGATGATTGAAATTTACTAACCTCTTCTAAAACAGGTATACCACAGCCACAGCCACAGCCACAGCCGTGGTATATATATGTATGAAATTATACCGTTAGTTCCTCTGATTCCAGACCTCCGATGGGGAAAAAAATCTATGTTGTCGTTGTGGAAGTCTTTCTATATTTTCTACATGCATCTTGAGTTCAAGATATACCGTTGGTAAATTGGTTCCAACCAAAACAAGAGGAAGATGGAGGAATTTTACAATGTTTTAAGGTTTAATACACTTGTATATTCAAAACTTTCACGGTTGTGTCAATAATATCCAAATTTCTTGGAATACCACTTATATCCATGTTTTAAAGTTGTTCTTTGCCAAATCTATCCATTTTCCAATATATTTTTGGTTAAATACACTTGTATATCCAAAAACATCGTTAAAGAATGTGAATGAATTGGATATAAGTGGTATTTCGGGAAATTTGGATATTATTGGCACAACCGTAAAAGTTTTGGATATACAAGTGTATTTAACCATGTTTTAATGTATTGGTGTTTTAGTTTTAGTTTTTATGTTACAACTTGAAGTTGTATCTTTAACTTTATGATACAATTTGGGGTTGTACCTATAATTTTTTGGAAAATCTCTTTATGGTACAAACTAAAGTTGTACTTTTATGCTATGGTACAACTTTACAACTTCAAGTTGTACTATAACATAATTGTCAAATTTTCTTATGGTACAATTTCAATTTGTACTTTTAACATTATGTTACAACTTTAAATTGTACTTTAAAGAGCCAATATTTTAAAGAATAGTAGATGTGCTCAGGAAAAAGGAATGTTGGGGGGTAAAAACTTCTTTCTCTAACTGTTTACTAGCGCTCTCTTTAATTATATTATCCCCTCCTTTTTTGTTTTCATTTTTTTGTAAATTTTATAGGTCTAATTGAATTAAACTTTGGCTTCCTTCCAAATAAAGTAAACTTTTTAAATTTATGTTAAATGTGAAATATAGTCCATATTATATTTTTCTTTTTGTTTATAAAATATTTTGCATAATCGACACCTCAGTATAGGCTTTTCTTTCGGGGGAAAGTTTTTTGAGTGCCCCTCTTATTGATTGTTTAAATTTATATATTATAAATGGATTTGTACTTGTTATTGTTGTATTAGTGTTGTAATGAATATTTGAGCTGAAGTTCGTAGCCGAAGTCCTCCCATCTTCAACTCGATCTATAACTAATTTTACAAGATAATCGACAACTAAAGAGCAAGAAAGAATTTAAAAGGGCTATTGTGATTGGTTTATTCAATCCTCCATTTTTATAAAAAAAATATTTATTTTGTGGAGAGGAAGAAAGTGAAAGAAAAATGGTATGGTGTAAATTAAGGTGGAAAACTTTAATTTGATAACTACCATTAAGTTTAAGGACGAAAAATATAATTATTTAATCGTAGGTCGACTTATATAGTTTAGTTGCAACTAAAAAAACTTAAATAGTTAGTATATAATGAAATCAATACTTACGTGGTAGATGGTGCAATTAACCCTCATTAACATTACATGCCCGTCAAAGTCATTAAATGTAGAGATAATGAGTGGAAGTGACTGACTTGAATAGATAGTCCATACTGTATGATGTGTCATATATATAATATAACATGAGACACTTCTTACTTATACCCTGAGCAGCGGTGGATTAAGGGCGCCCCGGGCCACGGCCTAGCCCTCCCCGGATCCGGAGCTAGTATAGTCGTTGTAAATTTTTGATTTTAGGTATTCATTTCAGTATTTGATGGGTTACGGCCCAATCTTCCACACCTTTTTTCAAATTTGGCACAGTGCTCTACCCTATCTTGAATTTGTCACTGACCCTGAGCCCGTGAGTCGTTACTCACTAGCAGAAAGCCAATAGGTTTAAAATTAGAAAAAATGGAAACAAAAAATGGCAAGAGGTGAAACTAAGCATAATCACCATATAACATTACTATTGCTCCATGATGTGACAAAAGCATGATCAAAAGTAATTCATAGAGTTGTACTCTTTGGAGTGGTATTCCATATGGTCTCCCTGTTTGCACTACTACATAACAACATTTAGGTGTTTCAAGAATTGGCTTCTGAATTAGGTTCCATTAAGTTTATATATTACTAGTCACCAAAAAAAGTAAAGGGAACAAGTAAACAACCCTAATATAGTTTAAGAGGGAAAAAGACATTGTTCAAATTATCTGTATTTACCTATCCTCCATGTCTCTTCCAATGATATCAATGTTAAGATTCAAATCCCAAACAGTTTTTAAGTTCAAAGTAGACTTTTGACTTGGGTTCTAGACTAATTGGTTTAAATTGGATAAGATGATATATTTTTCAAGAACCAACTGATTCCAATAACTTAAGTTGTTGAAAGATGTTTAATTGTGGATCATATATCATTTGCAAACACACACCCCTCAAATGAAAGTCACTAATATATATCTTGAAGTTTGCAGATGTTCGGACACCATGTGCTTAACATAATAGACGAGGTCGCTGGGATTCGAACAGAAGCCCTCCCAGTCATAGAAAGCTCTAATACTATGTCAAGAACCAGTTGATCCAATAACTCAAGTTGTTCAGAGACGTTCGATTATATATCATATACCATTTACTTTCCAAAAAATTTACTTTTGATAAGTTAGACATATTTTGTTGACATGTTAATTAGAATCTTAAAAGAAAAATCAGACATCCAAATCATTTTGTTCATAATGGAAAACAGTAAGTAATCAATCAATTGAGTAGATTTAGCTTCATTTTATCATGGCTTAATAGCATTTTGTACCCTCTACTATGGTAAATTAACAAACGTAGCTCTCTACTAAATTTTTGCACAGACATACACTTCTAATATTAAAACGTAACGAGTTTACCATTCCATCCAATTATCCGTTAAGTGACCGCTAAAGAGATTGTAAAATAACTTAATTGCCCTTCATTTACTTCTAACACTCCTAAATTTGATTTTAATTATTTTTATGTTTCAAATCAATTAAATAAAAAATATCAAAGCCCTAAATTAACCAAAGATTGGATAGTTAGTTGTATTCCTGGTAGGAAACTTCGTGTGAGCTCCATCAGCTCCCCGGGAAAATAAAATTCCGTCCTGGTACGGCAGTAGTAACGTACTATTTGTCCCTATTCTCTCCCCGTATAAATATTTATTTCCATATAAATCTGAAATCAATCAATCCTTCAAAGAACAATCAAAGCCCCGCAATTCCGTCAAAACGGCCCGAAATTATGCTCCTTTCTTCTCCTTTCCATTGCCATTCTAATTCTCCCTCCACACTTTCCTCGCCATTACGCCCCAACCTTCCAACCAATCCCTTCCGCCGCGGCCCAATCATGACCCCGGGGCTCCACGCCGCCGACCTCCGCCGGATCTTCCACCAGCTCGACCGCAACGGCGACGGCCTCCTCAGCATCGACGAGCTCGGCTGGCTCCTCGACCGGATCGGATCCTCGTCCCTCCAATTCACCAGCGACGAGCTCGAGTCCTCCGTCGGCAAATCCACCCTCGATTTCGACGAGTTCCTCGCCTTCTACCGCTCCATCGAGGACGGCGGCGGCGGCGGGGAGTCGGGGACTTCCGTGGCGGCGGCGGTGGAGAGGGATTTGGAGGAGGCGTTCAGAGTGTTCGACTTAAACGGCGACGGATTCATAACGAGCGAGGAGCTCCAGAAGGTGCTCTCGAGATTGGGGCTGTGGGACGAGACCACCGGGAAGGACTGCCGCCGGATGATTTCGCCGTACGATACGAATCTCGACGGCGTGCTTGACTTTGATGAGTTCAAGAACATGATGCGAGAAACGACGTCGTCCTAAAGAAAGGAGAGGGAGGGAATTTTTGCCGGATTTTCTTGATCGCAGTACGGACGGTGAGGATTGAGTTTTTTACCGGCCGGGACTCGGGAGATCCAATTTCTAAATTGGACGGTTCGGGTTGTTCTCGGAAGAACCGGTTTGTATTTTTCCTTATTAATTTTCTGGTTTGTCATTTTGATGGCTGTTAGTGTTAGGTGTAGATAATTAAATGAGTAGGGCATGATTATTGTATTTGATTGGGAATTAATGAATTGGCGAAGTTGGGACTTGGGGAGGGGGAGTTAATTTGTTCACATTTGAAAGCGCAGCCCACTCCACGCCACGGTGATGGTGTCTCTGATTAGTTAGTTTACATGTGGGTGGTGAGTGATAATTGAATTGCATTCTTCTTATTTCTTGTCCCCTCGTTGATATGGAAGGATGGAGCAATTCAATTATTGATATTCATTGATGGAGATATATGAGAAAATTTGAAGCATCCATGGAGTATTTTTTTTTTAAATATGAGTGTAATTATATTATTTGGTTGCAAGTTGATGATGATTAGGTTTCTTTCATTAAGTCAAATATTTTTAATATGATGAGATTTTCTTTTATATTGATTTCTTGTGTTCTAACAAATTAATTTCACTCTATAGAAACTAGTTTTGTCCCCGGCCGCCCATTAGCCGAGTGAATTTCATATCATATCTAATTAATCAAGTATTTCTTCATTATGGTTCAACTATTTTAAATTTGAAAGTCATTTATGTTTTCACAATTCATTTTCACGAACATATTTGTGGAATCTTAATATATGTATGATATCTAACTAAGTAATTTTAATTTCTCAAATAAACAGCCAATATTGAATCAATGATTGTGTAGTATTTGATTTAAACAATACACATTTCTCAGTTAGACATTCAATTTATTTTTTTGTTGTAAGTCTATTCATCTAATTTCGAGGATGAAGAAAAATGTACAATATTATTTCTGCAATATTAAGGATTGCTAATTTGTTTGTGTTGGTACCTTCTCCCTCTCAAGGCTAAAGAGTAAACATTTACCAGGATCGGTTAGCTTGCTACTCCACTAAGAGGTTTGAAAAATGACACCCCAGGTGTTAAATGCAACTTGTAGGATTTAGTACTCTTAATAAATATAAATTAATAATTAAATACACCACATTAATTAATTACTTTTTTTAAAATCTAAACCTACACAAAATACAATTCTCTCTCCTATCTCTAATTCTTCCTTTTCCAGTAGCCTCCGACCGCCACATTTCTCCAGTGAAAGTCCCTCCGGTAGACTCCCTCTGGGTATGTACAAAAATGTACCACTACATTTAAAATTTATACCACTACACTGATACGTTGTACCACTACACTAACATTTTTACAACTGCAATTTAAGCTAAGATATGAGATTTGTACCAGTGCACTGATATCACTACCAGTGCAGTGGTACAAATCTCATACCTTAGTTTAAATTGCAGTGGTACAAATATTAGTACAGTGGTACGAGAAAACAGAACTGGAAATCGAAAAGTCAGATCTGGAAATCGAAAACTCACCGAGAGAGGAGCGTAGGGGAGAAGGGTGCCGCAACAATGGGGATGGTGGCAGCGATGCCGGAGGATGGTGACAGTAGGACGACGGCGATTGAACAGAGGAGGATGATGGTGGTGGTGGTGGTGGTGGAAGGCGGTGGATGAGGACGACGGTGGAAGGGATGGTGGTGATGGGGAGGAGGACAGCAGGCGGCAGCAAGGCGAGGGGTGGTGACGGGGTGATGGCCAAGACAGGAGAAGTGGCGCAGGGGTGGTGGTGGTGTATTGCTTACAATATTAGTTAACTTATCTACTTTTGGATCTTGTATACATTTTCTGCTCTCGCTTCATAAGTGAATATGTGGTATGCCTATTTAAAAAATTCTTAATATTTAATAGTTAGCACACTCGCTTGTGATGTTTTTATTCTCTGATCATAAATCATGTTGTAAAGGTTTATCATGTCCCAATTGAAATTTGACACACATCGTATCCCTTATAATGATTAAATTCTCTAAACCTCCCTCATTTTTATTGTTGATGTTCATGAAGTCTTTGTATAGCAACTTATGACAATTTTTCTGTCAAGATACAAATTATTATTATCTTACAATATATATCAATTGCTAATATTTTAAGTTTGGACTAACCCTCGACCCATCCATGCCTTTTGCCTAGATGTTCGTTTAGAGTCCGAATCCAAGGCATTCATATACACTATCGAAGTTTCTCATCTTAACATGTTCATTCAATGTATAATTTTTCAAATATTTGAATGTCCATTCGCTAAAATTTCGTTATATTTGGCGTTTGTTCTAGAACAAAAATTGATTACTTATATTAATAATTGGTAAAAAGTGTATACGACAGACAAATATTTCAGGTGCATTCAAAATTATGTATTCCTTGAATAATTAACTTATAATTTTTTAAGAAAATATTTTGTAGCAAAATTTAAAAGTTCATACAAACATTGTGTCTTTTCACATGTATTTAAATTATTGGATGTATTGTAGATACATCTATAGTTAATATCTAAACATATATATACAGAGAGTTTTTTTATTTTACTTTCAACACTAATTAATACTTTTGAACTCAGCTCCTTGGGTGGAATATGATATCAATTTTTTTTGTTATTGCCCAAATTTGGTATGAAATTACAGGCTCACAACTATATAGACTTGTTATAATTTTCTTACTAAACTCATATTTATTAAATATTCTTCTTTTGAACCAATAGCTCGGTTTACACTATTGTAACAATAAATTATTTTTTTATATATGTGAAGTAAAACATGAATGTTTATAATTTAGATTTTTCTTAGCATGAAATGTGATGGTTAACGTACATCCTTAACAAAGATTTCTCTAAATTTCACACATTTCATTTTTCAAGGGATCTCGTGTCTCATCCTAGAATATGAAATCAAAGTTCATCAACTATTATACTCAAATCACTTTGGAAACTTCAATTTATAATCTTTAACAATAAATAACTCCAAGTCTGAAAAGAAAATTTCTTAGCATATGATGTAAGACCTCAATAGAGCTTGCTCAATCAACATGACCTAGAGAAAATATTAGTAATGTGAAATTAGTATACATTATAAATACTGCACATGCGTTTCATATGTTTTCACTTTATCATAACGAATAAGAAGTTTTTTTAATAAATAACTATTATTTCTTGGTCAAGTTTCTTTCGGACCTTATCGACAAAATATTATATTTTTGTGTGTTTGTTTAAATTATTCATTAAAATGTAAATTATTATTAAGTTTTAGTAAAAATGAGCAAAAATTTACATAGTAATCTTTAATAATATATTTTTTGGTTTGAAAAGTGTGATAGATAAGTGACTCTACATACATTAGTATACTGTTGCGTACATCGATATAATGCAAAAACAAAATATGATATATGTCACTCTCCATCATGATTTTCACGTCGGTCGGCATGCCACCGGTTGAACCATTCAACCGGTACCGGTCATGAAATCAACATACCGGCCGGTATGATCGTTTTCCGAATTTCTAAGTAAAATACGTAATTTTAGTGAATTTAAGTATGAATACATGTAATTTTAGTTAAAATATCATATTTTATTCACATATCAATATGAATTGTACGTAAATTGTCTTCAAATATGGTTATATATGATTAAATTCATTTGATATTAATGATTTTTTTTATATTTATACATATTTTATTAACCGGCATGAACCGACACAAACCTGTTGTACCACTGGTAAAACCATTCTACTTGCTAAACCGGTTTGATAACCTTTCTCTCCATATATTATGTATATATAATGCAAAAACAAAAGCAAAATAATTATTGAATAAAAGAGAATTAAATATTAAATGAAGAGAGAGGGACAACTCCATAAATAGGTCAATAACTATTTTTTTGATAAAAAAATTGTCCACCTTGGCAACTTGAGATCTCTCCAAGTGCTTATGTGACAAAATTTTAATTTTGAATTACCATAATATTATGTATAGATAGATAGATAGTTAGATTATGGAATATCATATAATACATATTGTTCTAAATGTAAGATGAAAGAAATCTCCAAACTATTAACGTTTAATTCGTAAAACATTTACATCATTGCTTATAATATTACTACAAGTCATTTTCAACATGCATTCCAAAACATTACATAATTCATATTGTAAGATGAAAAAAATCTCCAAACTAAATAATATTTAATCCATAGATTGGATGCATCATTTACCTTATAATGTTATTACTAATAGTTGTTCAATATACATTCTTCATTCATAAAAAAAAATTGTTCAATATACATTCTGAAATATCAAAGAATTCATATTGTTTCTATACGTAAGATGAAAGAAATCTCCAAACTAAATAATGTTTAATCTGTAAATTAGATGCACCTTTTAGCTTACAATATTACTACTAGTAATTGTTCAAAAACCATATAAGTCTAATCATAACAAAAAATATAGATAAAATTTCATGCTTTATGTCCAACTCTTTATCCACAATTACTCACCAAGCACTCCTGAAATGAACAATGGAATAAGCCAAAGTAGTATAAAAACAAGATAAGTTATCAGGGATTAATAGAAGGAAGTGAATATATGATATAGATTTCCAACAATGAAAACAAATTAAACTTTGCAAGTATCCTCAATAATGATATTTGAGAAGGTATTCATTCAAAATTGGGAAGAAAGGACACCTAGAGATTTGATAAGATTTTTTTTATCAAGGGAATTTTCGTGATGTTTTTGGCTTTTAGTTTAGGTAATGCTATATGTTAGAAATTCAACGATTTGAGGTTAAAAAGTTGGGTTGAGTATGGGTCCATCATAGTTCACCCACCCAATATTTAGTGGGTGACATATTTTTAGGGGTGTGCAATGGTTTGATCCGGAGTGAATTGGACCATACCCAACCAAATATATTGTGGTAAGATCCTTAGCCCATACA